TCGAACACTTGTTTCCCTTTTGTTTGGCTATCGGCACTGAGGGAAAATTTTGTAAACCACTTTTAAAACGAAAAAAGAGTTTTAAAAACAAGTTGGAACCTGGAAAAATACGTAGTTCTAATAACAAAGATATAAATAAAGTCGAGCCTCCACAACTCGAACGTTCTATACTAAGTCTATAAGTAGAATGAGTTTAAGTTTTGTTTGTTGTAAACAAGATTTAATAAGATACAAAGTTTTATAAACAAGCAGGGTTCTAGAAAAATGCGTAGATACATCAAAAAACATAGTAACTTTGGAATAGAGTCGAATAATAATAACAATAACTCGAAAGTTCTATACAAAGACGGTTTAGGTAAACTAAGATTTAGTTTTTTAATTACTTAATTAATTTGTTAATGCTATAACTACAAAACCCTAAGTTGAATACCATTTTAGCAAATATTTTTTTTGATATGATGCTCCTTGAGAACACAAATATAATCCCCCAAACTTTTTCCTCACTGTATTTATATATAGAAGTGCTTATCGGCATGCCTATCGCCGTAATCTAATCGAGTGCTTATCAGGTAATGGCTGCGTGCCAGCGCAGTGTTCCGATAAGGGTTTCTGCCAATACTTTTCGGGGGGCTGAGGGGCTACGGGAACCAGCACCATCTCGTGATCTGGGAGAGACAATCCCAGCCCGAACCAGCTGTATGGGTAACTGGTTCGGGTTAACAAACTAGTTTGGGCCGTTTCGCTGCACTTGCGAATTCTCATTTTTGATAGTGCACTATGTATATAGATCGGGTGAGAGCGGGGAGCTGGGTGGGTGGGTTGGTATTGCTAGTATTGCTGGTGAGGTGCCGAAAGCGACGACGACTACTGCTTAGTATAGCGATAGTACGCACACCGAAGCACGTCGTCTCGTCACTCGACTCGCCCTGCAGTCTCTCCCACAAATTTCTCGGGCTCGGCGCTTTCCTGCAGTCGTCCCACGAACGTGGCCGCAATTGGTCGACCAGAATCGGTTCGCGAATAAAATGTCTGCCACGCCCCACGCCCCGCTCTAGGCTCCTGGGAAAAGCACTGGCATATTGAAGTGTAGAAACAACTAACTCAAAACAAAATTACTTTAAACTACTTGAAAGTCTAGCATTGCGAGAAACATCTGTGAAGCATTGTTGACGGCGTCAGAACTACTACTAAATAATAAATAATAATAATAAACTGTGACAATAACGACTGCAAAATGCTGAAGTTGTTCAAAAAACCCAAAGACAAAATACCCAAATCGGAGATCATAACCGAGCCCAAGGAACCCAAAACACCGCCGGTCTCGAAGTGCGGCAAACCACTGCAGTTGGACAATTCGCGATGGGAGGCAAGTATATCCGCGAGATAAAACCTGAACTTTGGCCAGATATCACGTTCGAACGGCTGGTCGAATGTGTATATATGTATAAATATAGTGTGTCATTGCGTCATGGCTGTGCATTATTTTGGGCCTTCTGGGAAATCTGTGTGATTTCACTCGGCCATCTAAAAGGGGGTACTCAGATTTTGCAAATTTCCTCCCTTATCGATCAAACCATTTAGCAGCAGCTCTCATTTGTGGGGGCAGCGGATAGGGTGGTGCTATATACTCACTTGTTTATGGTCTCGAAAATGGACCTGCAAGTGGCAATCACTCGATAAGGGAGAACCGAAAGACGGAAAAACAATTGACGGTTCTATAAATTTCAGTGACATTTGTTTTTATCTTATCGTGCCTTTCGTTTTATATATATATATAGGTGCGTATTTTGTACTCGCCATATAGCGTATATTGGCGTTTGTAAGCCAAAAGGAGAAATGGCGCACAGATAAGGCGGGCGGAAAAAATAAGTCTTGAGAACTCTTAAGTAGAATGGCTTGGCCGTAGGTGTGCATTGTGATAAGATATGACCAAGAACTGTTCAAGTAATTAGCTAATTCATATGTCTTGTTTTTATTTTTGCCCCACAGCGCCGCCTGCACAAAGAGCTGATGTCCCTGATCAAGGAGCCACCGCCAGGCGTTACCGTTGACACCGAAAGCGTACAGCAAAATTTATCCGAGTAAGTATAGACTACGTAGCAGAGTGGGCCAAGTTCAGCGAAAACTAAAAACTGAAACTGGTTTAATTCAAGCACATGAAATAAAATGTGCAAAAAAATAAGCTTAATTCAGCAACTTGCGTTGAAAACAAAGCCCGCCATTGTTGTCAACTGACTCTTACAACTCTCTTTTGCTTACAGATGGAAAATAAACATTAAAGGTTTCGAGGGCACACTTTACGAGGGCGAGGACTTCCAGCTGCTGTTCAAATTTAATAATAAATATCCCTTCGATTCGCCAGAGGTAATAAGTCATTTTAGACAAAGGAAAGCTGAAGTTGATGTTAATTTTGTACCTTTGTTTTCCAGGTGACCTTCATCGGCAGCAATATACCCGTGCATCCACATGTCTACAGCAATGGACACATCTGCCTATCCATTCTGACCGAGGACTGGTCGCCGGCGCTGTCCGTGCAATCCGTGTGCCTTAGCATAGCCTCCATGTTGAGCAGCTGCCGAGAGAAGAAGCGTCCGCCGGATAATACGCTCTACGTGAAGACCTGCAATAAGAATCCCAAAAAGACTAAATGGTGGTACCACGGTGCGTATGCATGATTTTCCACTTATATAGCCCACACACACTCATAACTCAACTAATTGTTTATTGCAGACGATTCTGTTTAGTTAGAAGTGCAATTTATGACTACTGCCTGCTGATGTTTGCTTTGCGCATCCACCCAAAAAAAAAGATAGAAGACCATAGCAATACAGAAGTAGTGCGGCGTAGAGAGCCCCAGATATCCAGGAATTATGGAAGGCGACCAAACACTGCTCGCGAGTGGAGCAGACCTGATTCTGCTGACCAGAAAACCCAAGTGCACTCGGATGCGAAAGCATCAAGTCAACGAGAGAACTATCAGTAGTGTTTGGCAAACAATCATAGCGCATGCAACCAGTTCTAATTATAGCTATGTATAATCAACAAAAGGCGTGTGCGACAAAACTATTATTAAATGTTAACATTTTAATTAGATTGTTAAGACCAAAATTTATGTCTAAATTAAATGTTATGCTACCAACTAACTACTAGGCGTATGCAAACCCAAACCAATCGAACGTTTGATAGTTCTGGCACTTATCGCCAGCCGCTGCTTCCACATTCCACGAGCATCGTTCGAGGCATCCGGCCCGAGGAGCGTGATCCAACCCACATTTGCCTCCACCCCAGTTTATATTAATTGTGTATATTTTATCATCTTAGATGCGATGCGAAACTCATGAGATCATAGTTAAGTTTACAACATTTCAAATGTATTAGCAGCCATAACCCCGAATCGCACTCATTGTCACCAGTCCAGCACTCTGTAATCTTCCCCCATTTCCCATGCCTAGGTCGTTAAGTTAACCAGTTCATGTACTTGGCTAGGATAGTCCATCTGCGGCCAAAATCTCGCCAGTGGCACGATCGCAGAACACATTTACCTCTTACTGTGCAAGTAGATCATAGGATGCGACGAGCCGCTCGTCCGACTAACATTCAATTTAACTGTAGTCTGTGTACTGTATAAAGAGTCCAATTAAACCCAATGTATGTTTAACCAGCATATGTCTATAAATGCCTATAAATATTTACTGTTAAAAAGTATTTAAAATAAAAACAAGTCTGTAATCAAAAAACTATATTATTTCTGGGGCAAAGATTCTGTTATCTATCTGTTAGCTCACAAAAATGTATCCAAATTCCAATGGAACACTAAAATAGTTAGTATAATGTGAGAGACTTCTCAAGGGATCGTCAAATCTAAAATATTTGTATAGTTATTTTAGCCGTTCTTTATTTTTCTCTTATCTCAACTTTTAATAATAAACGACAATCGTTCCATTACCGAAATTTCTTATTTCCTGCTAAGCGAAGAAAAATACATATTCGATGCGATTCGTCATCCAGTTTTAAAAGCATATCGGCCAAAAATATTATCCCTATATTAAACGATAGCGGATGTGAGTGGTATCATACACTCAAAAAATAAATATTTTATGTTTTTAAAAGTGTCGGATTTCTTCTTTTTCTTAGAAAAGTTTAATTTCAATAATACCATACATTTTTTTAGGAAAAAATAGAAAATGTACATTTATGTACGTTTTATGATGATTGCATAAAAGATTTAAGTTTTCATTTTTATTCCTTCATGCGATTGCCTAAATTTGGATCATATAACTAACCTTATTTAAGAACATATATTTATAAAATGTTCATCTCTTTTTCTTGATTTTGAAAATGTGATTTTTGGTTTTTTACTTACATTACATTTTATTGTAATTCCCTAAATTGTAATTACAAAAAACCCGTAAAGGTCCGTTATTCATTGGTAATACGATTCTTGTCTCTCCATGCCAATATAAAGCCGTTTTCAACTGTGAGATAGTCTGGTTTTTCATTTACCAAAAAGATATTTATAAAAACAATGGTTAGTACCCAAAAATTTCCTTGGTAAATTAATTTTTTTAACAGTGTAAAGACAAATTTTTTTAACCGTAAGTGGCTTGTGATTTTCGAGATTATGTTTCCTGGAACTACAATAGCTGTTGGGCATTGAAATTTGTACTCTAAAAGTCAGTGCAGATGTAGTATCCACTGGACCGGTTCATAGTTCCAAAATGAAGATCGAATTTTTCTGTACAATTTTTGTTATTTTGAGTTTGTCAAAATCCAGTGCAGTTATTCCAGATTGCGATTTCTTTGACACTGTCGACCTATCTCATATGGAAAGGCAGAATGGTTCCTACCAGTACAAAGGAATCGTTATCCCTGATAACCTTATAGGGGAATATGACTTTAAGATGGTGCCTTTTGGGCAAAGGCTTACAGTAGAGACACACTTGAGGGGATGTGTCTGCAAGCTGAGGACTTGCATCCGGATTTGCTGTTTTCGCCCGGATATGTTGCCCAATGGCGGATGTAGCGATGGTTTCAATGATCAGCTTCTCCAGGTAAACCCCCACCTGTATGTGAACAACGAGGACGATTCGATAGATGTCCTATACTTGAACAACCAAACCTTGCTGAGGACACAGCTCTGGGGAGACGATAGGATGGTCTACCTGTTGGGACATGAGTACACGTTGTACGAGGTGTGTTTTTTGAATTGCCCTTTTGCATACCTGTCTAACTCGGTTTTTTCAGAACGGAACCTTAATTCTCAACTCCCAAAGTATTACCTTGGAGAAAGAGGAGTACTGCCTTCATCCCAATCAGTTTAAATCACGCTATTCAGCAGGCTTATGGGTTGTGTTACACGAGAAAACCGCGATACCGTTACAAGGAGTCCTTGGGAGTAAGGCCATGCCTATAAACTAACATCTTGGATTACCCTTTATTACCTGATTCTATTAATTTAGTCATTGGGATTTCTATGATGTGCTATATCCTAACTATCGCAGTTTATATTTCTGTGAAGAAGCTACGGAATGTCCTCGGAAAATGCCTTATCTGTAGCATGTTTAGCTTATTCATGATGGAATTGTCCTTTTTAATAGATGAATTTAGATTTCTGAACAATGTTTGTCTTCTGGCAGGTTAGTGGTTGGATCTGCTTATAGATTCGAGTAACAGTTTTACTGAGTAGAAGAAATATTAATATTTATCTCGTTTTTCTGCAGGTTACTGCTCATACTTCTTTGACTTCGCCTTTATTCTCTGGAACTCTGTAATCAGCTATCATTTATGGAAAACCTTAACGTCGGTCAACCGCGATGAGCCTCGTCAGCGGTTCCTGGCCTTCAGTGCTTTTGTGTGGGGCACAGCTGCTATGCCTACTGGAGCCATCTTTATGATCAACCAAATCTGGGAAAACGATCTGAATAACTGGAGCTGGATGCCCTTAGTTGGGTTTAGTAGATGCGCGGTGGATAGTAAGTTTAGATTAGGGTTTTTAATCCAGTATTTATTTAACTACATCGTTTCATTTTCAGTTTTCAAAGGGTCTGCCTGGATCTATTACCACGGGCCCTTATTAATCTTAAATATTTTCATATTTATCATGTTTATCCTAACGGCCAGAAACATTCTGAAAGTGAAGAGAAAACTCAAGAAGATTACTCAGCGGCGGGATGGGAGCACAACCTGCTTTAATTTCAACAGCGAAAAGTAAGCCGTTTTACTTTTGAGTTGGGTAACCAAAAATTATTATTATATATTTCAACTCAGTTACCTACTGTTTCTGCGGCTCTTTACCATGATGGGTGTACATTGGATACTGTATTTATTATATTTATTGGATTTCCATAACGAATTATGGCACTCGATTGTTACAGCAATGAAATATTTCCAATGTGCTTTTGGTATTTTCGTTTTTGTGCTGCTAATTCTTAAACGCAGCACCATTCAACTGCTCAAGGATAGGTAAGACTGATGTGACTGAGCCAGATCTTTTAGTAACCATTACCTTTTTCAAGCAGAATACGGGGAAACAGTAGTTCCAGTACACCGAAGGTCAAGGAACCAAAGGGAACCGGCCTTCTATTGAACGTCGTAAAAAAATTCAAAGTCTTATATTTCAGCAAAAAAAAGTAGGAATTTTGACCACCATTGCGCGAAATAATATTAGAATAAGGAATGCCATACGCCGTTAAACTCGTTATTAAATTCCCTATCGATTTAAATTGAAAACAGCAAGCTTTAATTTTTGAACATTTTTTGCAAAAACAAACATAAACATTTAAAATGGATGAATTTTCCTGACGAAATTGATCTGAGCTTTCGAGTTTAACGGCTAATTTCTTGCTCTTTGACACCAGGCCAACATAATCCGTAGCAGGTGGCTGCTGGGCGCTAACATTTTCATACTGGAAGACAACCGTTAGTTCTGTTAAGCAGACTAGAGATGGGCAATCTCTAGATCTGAAACAAAGCCTCCACAATATTTTCAAGTGGCACACCTCTAGTTAAGCCTTAAAAACTAATCATTGGCCACCTACGAATTTTCCTGTTCACCTGGTGTTTAAAATTGAAAAATCGGTAGTTTATTTTAATAAATTAAAAGGATTCGTAACATATTTTGTGTCAAAATGCTGGGTTTATGACTCTCAGACACCAGGCAAACAGAAAACTTAGCAAGTGGCAGCTGGTAGCTAAAGGTGCATTCAAATAACTGTTCAATTTTCAAAATGGCGGCCCTTTCCAAATTTCCCCTCCCACACTGACCAATGGGAATCAATCACCATGGAAAACAACCGTTAATTGAGAACAAAGAGCAGACTAGAGATGAGCAACTATGCCCGTGTCACGAGTTTGTCACGTTATGCACGAAATAAAAATGAAATCCCATGCATTTGCATAGGCCGTGCAAAAAGTAAGCAGTCACGAGGGCATCTCTAAGTGAGCTCTGATTAAACTGATCGTTTCTCCACCTGCTAAACGTTTATGTTCGCCTGGTGTCTAAATTTAAGAAGTCTAGCAATTTCACAATTTTCTCGACGGGCAAATGGGGGGCATTTTGGATTTGTGAATTCTAAAGAGACAAAATAAATCATTTTTTGATTGTACAGCAAACTGTATTGTAAGTTTGATAAACCATTAAGTTGACTTTGGATAAACAGGCAGTTATTTGATTATTTTTGCTGGGTCAAAGGTCATTTCTAACGTACGATATAGCATTTATTTCATTAAAATATATTAAGTAGATTACAAAAAAACTGAATGGATTCGTATAGGACACATTTGTTCAACAAAAGTAAGCGTTCTGTGCTCTGATTGTGCGACCATCAGAAGTATCTATCTTCCGAGGTCTAAGTGCCGGCAGCCACGCCCGTCGTGGCTGTGTAGTAGAGTCCCTGAAGCGCCTCCTGGAGCGCCCTTTCGCAGGCCAGCGTCGATGTGAATCCGCCGGCGTTTTCCTGCGGGGTTTCCGCGCGTATGTGGGCAATATAACCTCTGGCCACGATCTCGCTGGTGGGCGGCATGACAGGACCCTCGCTCAAAGCAACCAGTGGTTCGTAGACGAACAGTGGACCCTCCTCTGACTTGGGGACGGGCAACAGGGTGGAATCCGCGGTCTGGCCAAACTTGATGCCCGTGGAGAACTCGTTGGCGGGCTTAGGCGGAGGCAGTTGCTTCTCCTCCTCGCGCTGCTTCTCTGCCTTCTCGGCAAACTCGGTGACAATCTGGGCGGCATCCTTGCCGCTATACATCAGCTCCTCAATCAGCGCCTGCTTGTCGCGAGCCTTCTTCTTCTTGTGCTCCGTCTCCAACTCGTCAAGCTCCTTCCTGCGTGCCTCCTCTTGGACTTTCTCCAGCTCCAGCATCTCCTCAAGGGCGTACTCATCTCGCCCCACGCGGGTCTTGTTACGCTGGATGACCTCTCGATTGTCCCGCTTGTAAGCCTCGATCCGCTTGTTCGTTTCAATGATCTCTATGTTGTTGCACAGGTTGTACACAATGTCCTCGATCTCCTCCAGATAGTCATTGTACTCGGCCAGCGAGCCGAAGTCCTCCTCGCGTTTGTTGTAGTCGCGCAGAATTCGCCGTCGAATGTCCACCTCCTTCTCCACCATGGGATCCTCGAAGAGCTGGACACGAAAGTTGTTGCGTCGCAGGGGCACCATGCACTCGGGACAGGCGCCAGATCCTTTGAGGAACAGCAAGTCCACGCAGGATTCGCACAAAGTGTGGCCACAAACATTGACCATCAGCTTGAGCGACGGATTCCGGTATTTGGTGGTCTTGCACCGCGGGCACGCCTGGTCGTCCATGGCGACGGCGGTCTGTCTATCCTATTTCCGGTCCCTCAACTATCGAATCCACCAACAATCAATTAAAATTCCCAAATAACAATAATTTGCCGGCTGTTGTTTCCGATAAGTCGATAGTTGCCTCTTAATGTGACCATAAGAAACGGTTATCGTTTATCGGTTCAGAGCTTCAATATCTCTAGCAAGGACTGAAACCAGCAATTATAGCGTTGCCAGACATTGAGCAAAAACAAACGTTGGCAAATTTAAAATTAAATTATATAGACTATGATTTAATAAAAGTAATTCCAAGTCTATACCCTTTTTTTTGCAGTTTCAGCTTTAAATAATTTACTTTAAGCTACATATCAAATAACCCAAAACAGCTCATTTCTTTTAACATTTTTATTTCAAACAGCATACGCGGTAGTTGTTCACATTAAGAGTAGAGTTTAAATATGTTTTCTTTAAATATACACGCACTTTTATGTCATACGTATTTTGATATATGTGTTCTGAGTGTATATGCATTAAATAATTCAATAATTTACATTAACCAAACCCCGCCCAGCTGGGCGGCGATCTGTTTTACATTTGTTTTAGCTGCGTATTAACATTTACATTTAAATACATTCAATAAACAGTAGTAGTGACATCATATACACCTCCTAAATATATGCAGTTTATATGCGTATGCGAAGATAAAAGCATTGCCAAGCAGTTGATCAAAGTGGCCCAAAGGATCTTGGGCATGTTAGTTGCATGCGTAATACTTGAGAGAAGGATTGAGTGGGTGAGTGGGGTGTTTCGTTTTTGTTTTTGTTTGGGTGGGTGCGATATAAAAGCACTGTTGAAATACGAGGCGTACTCCTAATATATTTAGACTAACTTATGCGCTAAGAAGAGGACCTACTCGATTTATACAGATTGATTTAGGCGAATATAGTATATACTCTGAAGTGTAGTTAGGGGGAGGAAAGAATATATGTATGTAGAGACAGAACCTAAAAAAGAATCGAAGGCGTCTTGTCTTTATATAGGTTCTCAACAAATTTGTCGATTCAATTAGAAATCGAATCACTGTAAATATCACAATTTAGTTAACACATATACAAATTTAATTGTAATAACTAAAATAAATGTACGTAAGCTTGTCGTCGTCATTAACAATAGAATCTATCAGAAATCTAACAGCAGCTGCATTTACAGGCTGCAGCCTAATGTCGCATACGGGGGTTTTGGGATGGGTTGGGTGGGGGATGAGAGGAGAGGAGATCCTAGCCACCTAGCCCTGCAAGGCGGTGACCTCCTCCTCCAGCTCGGCCTCCACCTCGTCGATTTTGGAACCGCTGCATCCACGGCACTTGCAGCAGATGATGCAGGGCGCGGCCAGGAGCAGCAGCGGCGAGGCCACCAGCAGCAGGATCCCGAAGCCGGCGAAGATCCCGATCACCTGGGCACGATGCCAGACCACGGAGGCCCTGGAGTGACCCAGCTTGTTCTTGCACGGTCCCTTATCGTAGTGGCGCAGCAGGAAGTCGTCCTGGGATAAAAACAAATCACATTTAGTAAAAATTACTTTAGGGTCTTGAGGGACTCACATCCAAACTGGCCAGGCAGTACCAGCAGAAGACGTGCTTGCAGCGCTTGCACATCATCTGGGCGCAGCCCTCGTCCTTCTCGATGGGCACCGCGCACATGGGGCAGCACTTGATCAGCTCGTTGTCGAAGGGTATGCCAATGTCGTCCTGGCCATCGGCAATCAGGCGGCGACCAAACTCCTCGCAGCTTATGTTCGGATGGTACTGCAAAGGGACAGGGGAAAATCATGTAAATAATAAGTCTATTGTATTGAAAATAGTATTTAATTTGTGTTTTTGTTGCCGAAATTATTCATACTTATGTTTATAATAAAAATTTGTTATATTTGAAAATATAGAGGGGTGCAACACAAATCACTAGGGCTATTAAATAGTATTTTAAATTAATTATAGGTGTCTACATGTATGCAGTGAATAAAGGATAGTAGCCTTTCTGAATGAATTCAGTTTGTTTGTTAGATAACAAAATTGTGTTGCATACTTTTAGACACATTTATGTGATTTTAGTTTGAATACAAATCTGGTATAAATTAAATTATTGAAAATTTATATAATAGTTATTGAAAATATATACAGATAAGACACAAGCCTTGACTACAAAGGTTTGTTAAATGGTCAACCTAATATATTTCCGGAGCTATATTAATATCATGTTAGAGATACCCACACGTAATAAAAAAAAAGTGTTATTTATTCCTTGTTTATGACAAAACCACCGGAAAGGCGAAACAAAACCGCCCACTTACCGCTTTTTTGCAGAGGCCGCAGAATTCGTCCTTGCAGGAGGGACAATGCACGGACACCGAGAGCACGGCTACCCCGTTTCCGGTCGCGCCACCTGTGCTTCCGTTTCCGGCTGCCTCCTGCTGCGGACTGTAGCTCTGTGACGTCGACGGCGACTCGTCCATTTGGCAAATGGCGCTGGACTGGCCAGGCTGCGCCGATCCGCCCACCGTGCAGATGGTCTCGCAGCCAGCTCGTGGACACCAGGTGCGCGTCTTGTCCAATTCGATTTCTTAAATATGAGAGAAAAGGTATACAATTAATAAAATCTAATTACATTTTTCTATGAAAATCCCTTGAAAAACTGACCTCGATTCAGGCGATAGCGATGGTGCTTCTTCAGCAGATTCGTTGTGGTTAGGCTCGCAATCTCGGGCAGGGAAATGGCGCCCTGGGCCGGACACTTGGCGTCCGGACAGGAGATCTCGTAGGCGCCCTCGGAGATCTCAAACTCCACGTAGGCTCGCATGCACTGCAAGTAAATAGAATAAGGCGCTGAATTAGCTAAACAATTTACACTTCTTAGGCTTAAGCCAACTTAAGCTGGGAACACATATCTTTATATATAGCTGCCACCCACTTTTGCGGCAAAGCAAAAGTTTGTCAGGGCATTTAGCAAGTTTGGCTGGCATAGTTTTGGGCATGAAAACCGCATGGGCCACCGCAAAACTGCGGCTGTCGGAATTATTTCATTTTCCCTCACACACACACAAAAGTTGCCGCCTGTGCGGAAGCTTTTATAAATAAAGATTTAAAAGTTTTCCCTTTCCTTCCTGCCACATTAAAGTAATGGAATTGCAAACGGAACCGAAGGAAACTCTCAAATGCTTCGACACCAACCATATTTTCCCTTCGCCCTCTTTTCCCTCCGCTGGCAAATGAAAAGTTTCTGTGTCCGCAGCATGGTAAAAAAAAAGTGTCTCCTGCGGCCATCTCTCCTCCTTTTGGCCAACTTTCTGTTTAGCCGTAAATAATTAAAAGTGAATTTCTCCTTTCTCTCGACGGCTTTTGCACGAATTTGGGCTAGTGGCAACTTTCTGTTTGCTAACTGCAATAATGCAACTAGATATCTCGCTCAAATGAAAGTTTTCATTAAAGCAACTGCATAGGGCACTGGGAAATTTGTGTGCGTAGTTGGGATTCGAAAATAATTGCATTTCCTTAGTTTGTAAATGTGTAAAATATATAATATAGAATATTTGATAAAAAAAAGAAATACCTATATATAATAAAATATATGCCTACCACTACTACAAGTTTTATTTTTTACTTACTTAAAATAATACTAAAATTCTATTTACATATATGTTATTTCATTTTAGATAATGGATATGCATTTTTTTTTATTTTTATACCCAAAAGTTTTGTTTTGTATTATTAAAAGGTATCTGTAATAAACAAATTTTTTTTTAATACGATATTTGTTAAGACAAGGCATATTTTACATTTATAGTGAGCTAGAAATATCCGAAACCTATTTTTCAAACTCCTTTTAAGATCTGTTATTATATTGAGCTAGAAATATCCGTAACCTATTTTTCAAACTCCTTTTAAGATCTCCAATAAAACAAATACATTTTAAAATTGGTTTTATTGCTTTAAAACTAGAAAATGACCTTTAAAAATGTATCTACATTTGGTGGGACTAGGAATGCGTGAATAAATATGTAAAATATCTATTAAATTGTTTTCAGTGAGCACACATACCCCGCCCTGGTCCGCCTAATCCCTGCGTTGAAGGCTTCACCTGGCCATTCGTCAGTCAGGCCACAGCAGCCACAGCCTCCGGATTTGCGATGCGCGGCAAAGGCTTTATAGCCGGGGCTCTGGAAATGCAGCCAGCCGGAGGTCATGGCTGAGGGAGCTGGTAGTTGGGAGCTGGAAACTGGGAAACTGGGATACTGGGAGCGCAATGATATCCCCTGGCCAGATGGCCCTGTGCCAGCTGGTGCCACAATTTAGTGGCCTGCAGCCTGGATTGTGGTGCAGGTGAATGCCACTGGCACTTCCTTCCTTTGTGGATCCCCATACTATATACTTTTCGATTTATCGGGGCTAAAATACGGGCGGGGATTATGGTTTTGGCACACAAATTTATTGATAATACATCGGAGCGGCAGCGGCGGCGGCGGCGGTATTGAAAGGGTTTAATTAAATTCTCGAAAATCAATACCAGAAGAATTTCCTCTCAAATAGCTTTACACAGGGCCTGAGTGACAGATGGGGAAAATGTTGTCGAGCGAATAAATGTCGGCTATAACCACATAAAACATTTATGAGGCCGGCAGCACATGTACATACAATTGAAAAGACAAATTTTCCACATTGGCAGAGGAGACCCAGAGACCCATGGCAACCTTTGTGGGGCCCCAACAATTCTGCAGGCCATTTAAAAAGCCAACTGCCGCAACAAGATTACAAACACACACCGAGATTCTCAGGCTTGTGTATAAATTAGTATTAATAATGTCAGTTGGCGAATGTTCAGGGACATAAAATATATATACATGTGGCAGGCAGGGAGGCAGAAAGTTTACATTTAATATGCGAATTTATTTTATTTTATCAGCTGCACAACTCGGAAAAAAGACAGATGACTCGGTCGCCATAAACATTTCCATAGTTATTGCTGAATAATTCTGATATACATTTTTCTTGAACTGCTCTTTCGCCTTGCCCTTTGGCGTTCTTAACAAAATGAAACGTCTGATTTTTGTTTATTTTTGTCCAAGGATTTTCTCTTTTGAATGCAAGTTTCGCCAATTTAAATTATTTACGCTAGGAAGCAACTCAATCAAAGGAAAGAAAACAAGACAGAAAAATAAGACATTTCTTTGCAAAGCAATGTTCATTAGTTCATAGTCATGAAAAAAACATTTTTTACACAATTTTACAATTTTTCATTGAACTTATAGTGCATCCAAAGTGCAAATCAAATTATCATGGACATATTTGTAAGATATTTTTGTTATTCTGGAGCTGGAGCATTTTTCTAATGCACTTCTTAAATGATTTCTTGCCTTAATGGTTATTGGAAAACCTATGGAAAACGTAGACTCGTATTTTATGAAGGAGAATAAATATTTTAATTATGTACATTAATAAACAGAGAGCAAGCCATACATTTTAAATTTAATTTTAATATTTTTTCGCTTTGTTTTTCATTATTTGGGGTTTTTATTAATTTTAAGTGGAAATGTTAAATGTATAACACATTGTTAATTTTAAGAACTGAAACTTTGTTTTAAATATACAGCTAATATTGGTTATTGATGTAAAATGTTTCAATAAAATATGACTAACATCGTATCTAATATTTTCTAAGTATATAAAATATTTTAAAATAAAATGTATAAATATTAAATAAATATTTTTAAATTAAATGGTAAAACATTTAACCAAAAATGTTAAATTCCATTTGTAGATATTTATTTTTACTACTGATTTTTTATCAGTTATAGAAAAGGCATATCCTTTGCAATCAATTTTATTGTAGCATACTTTTCCGCGACTAGCCTGGTAATTGCAAGAAATTGGGATCATTGGGCGACATCGTGCATAAAAAGCCTAATGAATGAGCCAGACCCAAAAGCCACATCCTTAAGCGCACACACACACATTTCCCGGTGTAATCCTGGCCAGAAGATATTGCCAATTACACGCACGCCCGCCCGGAATGAAAGCGAGCAACTGAAGCCGGGAAACACGCGCATCTGCCCGCTTTAATCTAACTCATTAGCGGCGACACTTTAATTAATATGCCAGCTCGTCCTTGTCAGAGTCCCGTGTCCCGTGTCCTGCGTCCTACGATGTCCTGAGATGACAGGATCACTGACCGGCAAATGAATTGCCACGACAACGTGCGCAAGACGCGTCATAAATGCAAATTTATTGCAAATGATTACATTAATGTTCTGCCATCCTGGGCCACAGCCACCATAAACTTTTAATGCCGCATTCTGATTTAATTAGCCTGATTTACACGGCCAGCAGAAGCGGCGGCAGGGGAATACGTGTTGAATGCCAATTGGTAATTGATGCACGGAGAATAAGTATCTTACAAATTAGTCATCTAACAAGGTCTAATAAAAAAAATATCTTATGACCATATGATAAATGGTTGGGTCTACTTTAATAAGTCAGGACAAGGTAGAGAAAGAAAAAATGTAAATTTATATAACAATTTAAAAAATATACAGGTATTCTATAGATCGCCTCCGTTTTTTAAAGAAATCCAGTCGGTTAGTTGAAATTTAGGCAAGTGTCATAATGCCAAATAGAAAGTTCCATTTGTAATACGATAATTTTTGTATTTCATGGTCATATTAGATATTTTTAATCCATTTTAAGTTATAACTATTAGACTATTTCTCTATTACTATTTCTCTAAGCCTTTCCAGAGTTCCAAAGACATTTTAGATTACATTTTAAGCCTTATGCTATTATTTTTATCAGTGCAACGTGACCCGGAGCGCCTTGAATCAACGGCAGATGTGTGGCCTCATCTATTTATAGTTGCCAGCCAAGTCGCCAAGTTCGCATTAAGTCAATCCCATCACAAAGGAGCAGGACAACATTGTCAGTGTCCAGGATATTAGACGCGGGCAGAAACCCAATCCGCTTAGCAGTATACCACAGTTGATGTTGTGACTTGTTTGCGACATAATATTGCGACAGGAAAAGCGTAGGAAGCGAAAGGATACCTATATACGGTACGTTTTTAGAATTCAGCACGCGGCGGTGGGGATAAACATTGGAAATTTAATGATGGTGCCGTCAATTGAAATGCAAGCGCAACAAGCGACACAGGCAGCAAAAGATATAAAAATTGCAGTAGAGATAGAAAGGGGACACCTGTGCCAGGTCACCAAGCGAGGAGATAATAATGAATTTTAGATGTTCTATAAGAGAATTCTATGATGTAAAAGCTTTTTTAAGAAAAATTCGATATATAAGAAAGGTGTTTAGCCAAGATACTTGCCACATCCTATAGATACTTTTCCTATTTCTAAAACCTTAATACATCATTATATATCGAAATAGCTCCCAAGGATTCCTTCTATTTAGTCACCCTAATCCCTGAACTGGAAAATCCGATTTTTATACCCTATAAGCCAGCGGATCGCAGAGAATAACAGCCATTGTTAAACCTCCCCACCGATACCCATAAATAATGCTAGACTTCGACGACCCTGAACTGTCCCCTTTTGCTGAAACACGTCCTGACCAAATCGAATGAAACCCATTTGTGTTTGGGAATCGTCATAAAAGCCGGCAGCTCAGAACTGAGATCCACCATATATCCCACCTGCTCCTCCTTCTTTTTGGCACCCTCACTTTGCTGTTTGTGTGTAAAATTGAATTTAAATTGCATGTCCAGAGTTCCACTTCCGTTTCCGCTCCCCTCTGCCCAGCTGGAGCATTGAATTTCAATTGATTGGAAATGCTCGGTCCATGACAGAGAGAAACCGG